GTATTTTTTTTTTTTTTTTTTTTTTTTTTATTGCGACTCGACAAAATGACTGCACCGCGCCTGATGGAAAGTGCGAATACAGTCCAGAGATGAGAGTAACGGATGGAAAACACAAATATCTTCACTCCGTCACTATCATTTTGCCGGTCTGGCCAAATGCACTGGATGTACACCAACTGATCCCTGAACGCGATTCGCAAAAGCGTTTCACTGTGGAGGGTTTTCCGCCGTGTGTACTGTGGTCGCTATCCAGTCGGCACAGAGCCTACCACAATGCTAAGCAGATGGACACTTGTGACGCCCTCGGTCGCCTCTTACGACCCCCACGGGCATGTATGGGGAGGCGACAATGTATTCTTAAGCCGTCGCCCCACGGCTAGAAATATGGTATGGATTACAGTGATTCTGCCATTCGAAATACACATGCTAGATATATGAGAAAATTGTTTGTGCCGGTAGGTTGATAGTGCTTTTTCTTCTTACAACTTTTGCAAGGTATTATAAAAGTCGTAACACAAAATTTTCTATCAGTTTGTGGCACTTAAACGAAATATTATTATATATTATAAATATGTGAATTGTAGGTGTGAAGTGCAATATTGGCTTTGAAATTTAGGAGTGGTTATAGTGTAATATGTGTCATGGTAAAGGAAACAATAACCCGTGGCAATTGGATAAGAATGCGAGTAAATATCATAGGTGTAAAGAAACCGCTCGCTCTCTTATCGCTCATTTTAATCACCGCCATTGCCACGTTCATTTACTAAACTGTTCGAGGCAAAGTTCATTGGATTTTTTTTAACGAAAATGATTCAAACTATTAAGAGCGGTTACACATATTAGCAGATCCCTAAAACCAAAAACAAAGAAAAATTATATATATATATATATATATATATATATATATAATACATATATATTATTTATAGCACATAGAACAATTCGTACAGTTTGCTGATTCGTTCCGTAGCTCAGTTGGGAGAGCGTCAGACACGGTATGCTGAAGGCGCAGATTCGAATTCACCCGCATCGAAGGAATTTTTCTGAGTGTTCGAACTTTGTTAATTAATTATAACAAGCTAGTGGAGTAAATTCACAAAACGAAATGATAATCATGGTAGTAAAACATCATGATATTCAATAAATGTAATATTCTATCTCTGATAGTTTTAAGATGCATCAGTGGATTTGGAAAGTAGATTCCCTGAGAATAAGGTATGGATTATGATAGGCTCCTTTTCTTTCTGTGCGTCTGTGACATGTCAAATGTATTTACACCAGCAACAATAAAATTCTCGAACATTAGAGTGGTAAGTTGCTGTGGTAGAGTTGCACATTTTTATTTTACCAAATTGTTAGTAGACATGACGGAAGTCTTCGCTCTTGACAATGAAAAAATTCATTTCAAAGTGATTCAATACAGGAAACACTTCTAAAGGCAAAGTTCCTCAATTGTGAGAAGCAAGTGAATCAACGATGACTAAGTATCATGAAGGTTGCAGTCAGCAAGGTTGCCACTCGCTGATGTTATCGAACACAAGTTTTTGGCTATCACAAGGTCGATAATGAAAACCTGTTAGAACCCATATGAATAGGCCTTTTAAGACTAGTTTTGTGGGGGTGCTGCTGATCCTGGTGGAGTTCTGTTGAATATAATGTTGTCAGTTTTATAAGTATTTATTCCGGTTTTGACAATATTTATGTATATATAATATAATATATAATAGATAGGAATTATACTTTCGACTGGTAGTGCGAGATGTTGCCTTTAAATTTTATAAAAAGTTTAACAAACATGTTGTCTAAGCTTTAGTAGGAGTAGAGCTCTTAGAGTTCATCCAGGGAAATACTGCCACCTTACTTATTTCTGCCGCCAAGCAATAATGTGAGCTTTACTGCGTTCCGGTTTTGAAGGGTAACAGGGTGCTAGTGAAATTAAAAGCACATGGGACTTGTCAACTTGTCTCAGGGTGACTCAGATCTTTGTGATTTGGACTCAATTTATACAAAAAAATTGTACGTTACACAATTGAGCATAAAGTTCATTGTGCACCATTGTGCACTGCTCATTGTGTGGCATTGCAACTTTTATGAACAGGCTTGTCGCTTACCTACTTTTACGAAGTCGTAAAATTTTTTATAGTGTACCAAGCGAAAGAGGAAGCAAGTGCTCAGTCGCTTCTTATAATATAAAAGAATCCAATGCATATATTATTATTCATTATTTATCACACTCCAAACAGAATTTACAGCTTCTATCTACGCTAAGCGGAATGTAAAGACCTTAGAAATTCATATTTGGTATATATGGTAAACAATTTTAACTGCCTCTGTGGCCGAACGGTTACCATGCCACGCAGAGGTCCCAGGTTCGATTCCCGGGCCGGGAGAATTACACTATAAATACATTTATTTCTCTCGTGAGTTTGGGTGTAATTTGTAGTTGTCTATGTGTGTGTCCATGCCACGTTATTATTATTAATTAAGGCATACATATAAGGCATTTTGTACAATTAAAAAGAACTATTTTTTCCTAGAGGAAACAAGTAACTTTTAAACCTTTACTTTGTTTACATTTTGACCATTACTTAGTGGATAAAATTTTGAATTACTTTGAGAAGCAAAGAATGAAAGAAGATGAAGACGTAGCTATCGGTATTTTGAGAGTTCATTGGTAGGTATGACTAAATTTAAATTTCAGCTTTGAATGTGTTCAATATTTTCAGTTTGTTCGCATAGATTTGACCTTTTAGAATAGATCTAACCGCAAGACTAAATTAAATTAACATTCGCTTAGCAACAATCTCTCTAAAGGTTATTTTGATCAGAAAAAACTACTGTGTAATAAGAACGAATTGCAAAATGCGCAACATTATTTTCGCTTTTTCGCATGGACGTAAAAACTTTTTTGGACCGGCTCTAGTCGACTTGGCGCATGGCGTTAGCAAGTGCAGTGATACCCTAAAACGTGTATACAACATACCCATAGTAATAAAATAATTAACTTCATGGTCAAACAGCCTAATACCGTGAGAACCAAAGATTATATTGCCTTTAATGAAACTCTGAGAATACTCAACCATATTACAATATTTTCGTTGATAATAAAAGGTTTCCAAGCGAACGCACGCATCGAGACCATGACGATAAGTATTTATTAACATAATGTAATAAGCCAGCAAAGAATTGTTTACTCAATGCATAACATCATATCAGTGGCATGTATGAGCTGCACATAACCCGTCTATATTGTTTTAAATACATTTGTAGCAATAAAGCTCCTTGTGAAAGAATTCGTCCAGGGTAATACCACCTTACTCATTTTTGCTGCCAAGCAGTAATGTCAGCATTCCTGTGTCCCGGTTTTGAAGGGTAAGGGTGCTGGTGAAATTACAGGCACATGGGACTCGTCAACTTATGTCTCAGGGTGACGGGCGCAGTGGCAGTGCGCCTCAGATCTTCGCGATTTAAAGAGCTCAGTGGCACTGTAACTGTTATGGACAGGCGTGTAGCTTACCGTCAGGAGCACGACTTGTTCGTCCCGTCACTTGATATTATAAAAAAAATTACGGAGTAAATAATTTGTGCGCGATACATGTGACCTTCAAAAGTATGAACAAGATGCATCCAATCGGTAGGTATTAAGAATATTCAGAATACTTTTTATTTCTATAAATACCAGTCTCCTTTACGACCCGGCGCGTGAAATGTGTCTATACGAAGTAATGTTTAACCGACACCTGTGCTACGTGTGAACAGTGTTACAGGAGCCGTGTGCTCTAGAAACTTGATTTTTCACGGACAGTACCGAAAGTTATGAAAATTGGTGAGTTTTCACCGTATATCCTGCGGTTCTTTGACTCTGACGTAATATAACTTCCAAATATAGTGGGTTCCGATTCAGCAACACAACGAACTACAGCGTTTAACTATGAAATCTTGTGGGTTGGTACCTATAGAAAAACTTACCTTGCCATAGTTGGTCTTGAAGGTCTCGGCGATCTCCAGACGCTGGACGATGCCGCGACGGCAGAGCACGTCGATGATGGCTTTCTCGTCTGTGCCGAAGCCCTTCATGGCCTTGCGGAGAGTCTCCGCATCCGCGGCCGGGTCGAACGGCTCCGCGGGAAACACCGTGGGGGTGCACTGTGGTAAAGATATTTCGTTAAATGTGTGTTATAAATACGAATATTACATATTAGCTTAACAGTCCGTGGGTTCCGCCGTCTTCTTTGTGAGCGAATGACCTTGCGAGACTATTATTTGAGATTATATTCAACTACACATCGTGGCTTGGAAGAGGTCGTCGTGTATGCAGGCGGCTCTTGCGAGTCGCAGGAATTCAGTTGCGTCATTTTTGGGCAAAAGCAGCATATTTTCAACGTTCAATTCCTTGAACTCAAATCTCCACACGTACGATATTATCTTATAGTAATGCTGAAGAATAAACGTCTCTCCAGGAATGGAGATCGGATAACATTTTGACCATAATCCAAATTATTTAGCAATCGCTTTTTACTAAAATCCCTGCCGCCCTTGATAAGTGCGGGTGATGTCATTAGTTGTGGTTAATAGGGTCACCAATATAATCTTGACTTGTCGTACTGAGATTTGTGTACTTATTCTTGTACAGTCAAGAGCACGTCAAACTTGACACTTTGTACTTTGGACCGTTCTTACCGTAAGCGGCAAAGAGTTGGAATTAAATCTTAAGTGTCAACTGAGCTGGCTCTCCCGACTTCTATTTACAGCCTTTGGAATCGAAACCCTTGGTCCGTGGGGTCCCAGTGCCCTTCATCTGTACAAAATTTTATCGAAAAACTTAATAGACTGTCTGGGAAACTCAAGGGTTACCTTGCCCAACGCATTAGAATAGCAATACAAAGGGGGAACGCATTCAGCATCTTGGGCACCCTTCCGCGGGGACCCAATTTTATTCATATAATTATGATATAATTTAAAAATCCTAGTTTTACTTTATTGTCTTATTTACATTACCTGTATATTATCGTAATTAAATACTTTCTGATATTTCAAACATGGAACCTATAATATACATAAAAAAGGATATAAGTGTCAAGCTTGACGTACTCTTGACCCTGTACATAATTGACTCAGATATAGGAAAAATATATGTATGATTTGGCCTTAGAGGATGGAAAAATAATAATTTGACTAATGGAAACGTCCCGCTCTTGTCTTTATAGAATAATACTTTGCCAAAGAACAGACATCCGTTTCCACGGCCAGTATTTCCTTGACACGAGTATATATACTGTCTATGGATATCAAATGTACGTAATTAAATGTGTTCGCTATTTCTTCCCTAAGTCATAATACCGTTAGGGCTGTTCAAGGACGTCACACCCCTTATTGTCCCACATTCCCATTTACATAGATATTACAGCTTCGTGACCCAAAAACGCCCCACGCGCCCGTATCTCGCGTCGGGCCAGCTTGCTGGTTTTACGTTTATGGGTTAACCATGATTTGTATCAACTATAATTAAGGTTCGACAAGTGACAAGAGTACCCTGTGTTTAGCGTAATAGTCATAATATCTGAGTGGTTCCCAAGTGGGACTTTCAGTTTATTCAGTGCAAATTTAATTGAATTTGATTTATTTATCTAATTATATTTCGACTGACTTGTCAATTGTATATTTTGAAACATACCTTTATGTATAATGCTGTGCATAAATGTAAAGCAGTATGTAAAGCATCTATAATATGAATAACAAAATTGTTGTAAACTAAAATGTTGGCAACATTTGAAGTCTAACCAATTATAAAGAAATTATCAGAACAATAAGCGTAAAATTTAGTTTAGTTAAAGAAGTGTTGGTTAAATATTTTTTAACCGACTTCAAAAAAAGGAGGAGGTTCTCAATTCGACTGTATGTTTGTTTTGTATGTATTTGACGATTCTTTTTTTTGTTGGAAATAGGGTACCTCAGAAGGGGTCCCATTTAAATTTGAAGAAAATATTCGACCTCTAAGGGTGGTAAACTAGGGGATGAATATGGGGATGAATGACTTTTGAGGCCGGTATTTTTAGTACTCTGTACTGAGTACAGGTTATTTTAAACAACTGACCGTAATATCAGTGAAGTAAAGCAACAAATATTTTTTACCTGCCTGCAGACTTATTTCCCGAACGTTATACGTTAGGCCTTTTCAAGGCGAGAGTGAATGTGCATTATTATTATGTGTACCTATGCTCCATCGTAGACCCTATGGTCTCTTTCCATTAGGTACGATGGAGATCAAATGCGCACTTGTATTTTATATGTAAAAAAACCACCACTTAACAAATATTTTTGCGGCTTGTACGACTGTAGTGGCGGCACAGCCTGGGTAGCTTATACCGCCCTGTTCAACACATATTCAACCTACTAATTTATAATGCGTGTATTACACAAACTTATTCTTTAGTTTCTATGTTGTACGACTGTAACATAAAGCTAGGACAACGCCCTTTTTTATATTGGGCTGGGTAAAAATAACTAAGATTTGTGTCAAGCAACAGTCGACTATCAATCAATTTGTATCATAGATATGATGTGATTGATGATACAGGATGAAAGAATAAGATTCCAAAAAAAAATGAAAAATACCTACATTTGATTGAATGAGAAATAAAGTATGCCCATCACATTTGGACATATTTTGTATGGAACACAAACGTTTGTAGATTTATTTTTTGCGTAAGTCGTTATCAGAGTAACTGGAATAAGTGCAAGTTATTGTTACAACTACCTATGTTGAAAGAAAAACAAGTCGGACAGACACTGACCCGGTGACAATCACGTGCATTATCTTTACATTATATTTAAGTTGAAATCAAGATATATGACATTTAACGCAATGTATAACTAGGTGCAAGTTATGTACCTCCCTATCCTATCTATACCTGATACCGCTCACAATGTCCCACCACTGATATCCTCTAGAAGTGACACGTATGTACCAAGATAGGAGATTTTATAGTCGCTGTGAACTTTTATATTATGCAATTTACATTTCCTTCTAGTTCCTATTTTTAGGTGAAGTCCAACTGTATCCACCCGTCTTCAGTTCTGCAATCTGCATTTAGCGCATAATAAGTATGTAGGTACCAATAAGAAAAGGAACCACATAAATTTTACAAGAGACCCTTGTACTGTAGTGGAAACGATATGGGTTGATCAGTACATATTATCTTAAAATGTCTGGAAAATTCTTTCGTGGCATGTTAACTCAAGATGGTGGTAGACATTCATTTTCACAACTACCTACAATTGCCATTTACCCAATAATTACAATTTGCCGACAGCCGGCAAAGTTATCCGATTATACCGCTAACCTTGCCCAGAACAGATGACATCATCTCCCGAGAATCGATGGACAAACCGGCCCCATTATCGTAGGTGTAAAAGCTTACCTTGTACGGGTAGTATTGTTGTCCACTCATTTTGTTAGATTCCTGGAACAAGCAACAAAATTGAATATCCAAGTAGTGAAAACAAGCTTGTAAACGCGTTATTACACCTGCTAAAAATAAAATTTCATTGCTACATATCAGCCGGTGTGTGATTAACATTAGCAAACACTACGCGCCGGCTTGCTCACCGGGGAATTCACAAAGTACACATACGTATTTCTACAAGATTATTTAATATTATATATTCAACTGCGATTATTGCAACATTAATACATATTACCTACACTTTATGAGGATATACGTTAAAATTGTAGACACTTACTTTGTATTTTAACACAGAGACACACCCAACCGTGCGACAATGCGGCAAACTCCGAAATAAACACGAGTCGAGTGAAACTCCGAAAGGTCGGGGGAACTGCTTTTTGTTCGGCCCTCTCGCTCTTCACCGTCGTCGTCAACCTTGATGCGAGTTTGTAGGTAACTCCGCTTATAGCCGGCTCTACACGCTTGCCGTTTGCCGCAAGCCCCAAACGACTACAAACGCTCACAAATTAAGGCGAGACAAACGTCCACACACTTGCAAGCGCACTAGTGTAGTGTATTCCAGAGAAGCAAGCATGGCGAACCATTTTTATTACGAAAAGAAGCAAAATGAAGGGAAACATGCATTTTCTACTTTTTTTCTCTTTATGGTCTATATGATAGGGATTCCAAATGCAAGGTTCTGCTAGGTAGCACTCCAGGAAGAATAAATACGAGAATAAATACGAGAGTTTGACCAGTCACTCACAGAAAGCTATCACTTCTAGATTAGTATAGTTGTTTTTAAATTGTTTCCTTACAGCTATGTCTATAAAGACAGTACAGCGACATCTTTTTTTAAATAGTATATGGGTTGCCCAACAACGTAGGAGAAACGAATCGTATATCTCTATATCGTTGACAGTTCTCAAACAATACAAAGTAGCACAAACGTGTGGATACGTGATAAATGCTTGCCTCAAGCTTCCTTTGATTTGTGCACAATAACCGACACTTGAAGGGATCGGCGACAAAACCATGCAAGCTCGCACAATCCAATCCAAACACACCATCCACGCACTTGTATTTGCGAGCGCTTGCTATAGTTTGGCAAGCGTGTGGAGTCAGAATTAAATTCATGCTTGTTACCAATTGGAATAAATACAAAATACTGGATTTTTTTATCATGATTTATTAAGAAATAGGCATAATGAAACCTTAAATCTAAGCTGCCAGTGGTGTAACAAAAATTGGCTTTGGCTTCATTGTACATACTACACCGGAACCACCAGAGTATTAAATAACATTTATAAAAATGGAAAACAAACGGTTACAAACAAAGTACTGTTACTTATTGTTTTGTAATACTTGTAAGCAAAGCTCAACATTACGATATTATGTAAAAAAACTAGGTTTTGATCTCTCAGTGAGATATGGGCCATAATCGAAGAACTTTGTTTGAATCTTGCTGTAATGAAGTAATTCGACAGGCGGCGGCGGCGCGGTAAATACGAGGTTGCATGCATAGAGCGCTTGGCCATTTGGCCAATGTGGAAGTTGATTTACTAATATCAGGAATATGACAAATCATATTATGGTACTCAAGTAAGATAATGGCGTCGGTTTAAATGGTACAAATGCATTTTGCAATGGATTCGCTTAGGGCGAACTAATTTGACTAATTTGACAGATCGAAACTAAAATGAAATTTTTCGTAATTAAAACAAAAGAGACTGCACTAAATTATAGATAGAGTTTAGTTTACGTCGCGTTGATTGTACTGATACAGCCATGTGGTTTGTTTACGGTTTCTGACTGCCTCTGTTACGGGATAGTGCGGTGCAAGGACTGCATTGTAGGTGCGGAGGAGTAGGTAGGCATAAAAAAAAGTAGACTGCTGTTTGTCGATCAATGATTTGTGTCTTCCACTATATCACGATGATGATGATGTTTCTAACTGCGTTGTTAATAAACTCGTCATGTCAGAATAAAAATGTTTGATACCCCTGTACTACGCAATGAAGTCGAAACCGGTGACATCATCGGAGCGCCGACGCCCGCCGACATCGAATGGAGGACGCCAGGCACTGGCCGCACTGCCCGCCACGGCGGCATCAGGGAGCCGGTTGCGCACTCCACAACACTTATCTTGTGAAACAAACATTTTTATTGACATTTTCCAGATACGAGAGTTTCACCGTTAACGGATTTTGAGTTTTGATTCAATCTTCCACTGTAATGCGTGTAATTATTTGAGCACATTGTTGCTTTAATGCGATTTATGTTATAGAAATCTTGTATTTAACACTTTAAGTTTACAACTGTCTATCAAGAGCTTTTACTTTACCCACCTACCACACAAATACCTGCTCAGCTAAGAATTGTTATATCTATAGGTACCACCATATATAAACAAAAAATACAGTAATATATTAAACAGCCGTTCTAAACTTCATTCGATAATACACCTACAAGAGCTTTTTGGTACATACATTTTCTTTATTGTGTCAACCGTGATGAAGATGGAATCTCAACTGAAAAATCATGTTCTTACAAACACTTCGATATCGTCAGTGACTAACGTGACCATAGATTTAGTATATGAACGTGACCGTTATTTTATACATACTCTCAGAGCGGGACGCCTGTAAATTTATTGTTTTAAAAATAAAACACATAGTTACGAAATGTTTAATGACTAAAAAAGAAAATAAAAAGAACTAACAAAAATTTAAAGAAAGAACAAATCTTGTGTAGTCTGGTGGGCTGGTTTTATATATTTTTCGCTTTAACGCCATTTTTTCAATTAATGTCACGCTTAAACTGCGTTGGCAAAGTGGGACAACGTTAAGTATTTTGGCGACAGCGGGACACGAAACTTAAAAAGCCGGACTGCCCCTCTCAAAGCGTATGGTCACGTTAAACATAACTCAACTTATCACCTATGTTTCAACTTTATAAACGAATGATGATACTGTGAAAGTCACCACTTACTTAATTACCTCTACATAAGTGACCGCACTCTATTTTTTTATATCAGCACAGAGTACTAAAAAACCGACCTCATTCATCCCCTAGTTTGCCTTTAGAGGTGGAATATTGTCTGAGGCGCCCTCTTTAAAAAAAAAGAATCATCAACATCAGAGCCGGAGTTATCACGTAACATACATACAAAAAAACATACAATCGAATTAAGAACCATAAGTAGATACTGTATAATGTTAATCATTTGTATGAAGAGAGACTTTTCGGAGAAGCTTTTACTCGATTATTACAATCCGGAACGAGGTTAATATAAAGCATTCATAGAAAGACCAGAGCTTTGTGGGCGCTGAAGTAAGAAATACGTTACTGGAAATACACAACGTATGCTATATACTTTACAGAGCCATCGCCAACGGGAGAGAATGGTTCCTGAAAATGGTGTCAACGAAAATCACCTTGTAATGTCGTGCAAACGACTTTGAATGCAGTCGGCCCAGCTCCACACGTTTTGTATTCCTTTGGGAAAATGACACTTAATACTTAAATTAGTTTATCACAAATTTTGTTCGAATTTTTTACATGCCTTTCTTGTTATTTGTTCAATGAAATTACTATTTTTGTCTTGTTCACCGCTCCAACGACGCCTAGGTACCTACAATGTATAATTTTTAATCTCTTACAAAAATAAGACAGTGAAAAATCGAATCACATTCCGGGCAGAATTCGTTCTATGAAAGAAGAAACTGATTCATTGGATGTCATCATCAAGAAATAAACGTAAGGAAACAATTTATAGAATATATTAATAATAAATAATATATTGCTTGTGACTGGCGACCGGTGTGTATACGACGTCACGGATCGTCACGTCATCGAGTCTTACGAATCATTTCTTAGATCATCGCATTGACTCATAGATAGGT